AGGGCGGAGTTGGCAGGCCCTCCTCAGAGCCCCGTCCTGCAGGTGCAGCAGCGTGCCTGGCCCCAAGCCAACCACGGTCTCTTCTGAGATGAAGAATAAAGTCTGGAATGTTTCGCTCAAGACCTTTGTCCTAAAGGGGCTGCTGAGGAAGTTCAAAGGTGGGGCCGCGCAGAGAGGGTGGGGGCTGCTGGTTTCTGTTGGCTCAGGGTCCCCGGGGTGCCTTTCCAGGGCCGTGGAAGAAGACAGGAGCTAGGCGCTCCATGGTCAGATGGGGGAGCGGGGTGGTGGCAAATCTGTCCAGGTCTCCCAGGTCACGCAGCTTCCCATGGGGACAGAAGGGCCAGAGGGTATTGGGGGGCAGAAGAAAGCGGACGCAGGAGAGCCCAGCCCTGACCAGCTCTGGTGAGGCTGGAGTCCTTGGGGTCTGTGTCCGTCCCCTCGACCCCCCATGCTGGGACCGGGGTCTGCACGTCAGGTTTCAGCCCCTGGAGCGGCTGGGGAGCGGGGAGTCAGCTGGGCTTAAATGTCGGGAGAGGTGGTGTTCTTGCTCACACACACCCTGCTATGTTTCCTCTCCAGAGGACCTTCGGGGAGAGCTGGAGAAAGAAGAGAAAGGTAGGGACAGTGCCGTGATGGTGGTTACCGATTATGGGGCCACACAGAGACCCATTCTCTGCACGCCATGGGTTTCTCCGCCCCCCGCTTCCTCACCTGGGCAACTCGGACTCCCCCAAGTGGCTGTGGGGTCCTTGGCCCATATGCTGTGAGCTGGGACAGGGGCAGGAGTGCCCACACGTCGGAGACTCCGTGGGGAAGGTTTGTGGCCGCCCAGACGCGCCTCTCCCTGTCCCTCCCAGACAGCTGGAGACGGCTCCGGCCATGGGGCTGATACAGGGACAGGGAAACAAGGGGCAGAGGCAGGAAGGAAGACGGTGCTAATCCCTGCGGAGCTCTGGAGGTGTGGGACCCACCAAGGGGGGCAGGCAGTGGAGGGCATCTATTCCCGGTGCGGTGACCGAGCCTCCGGCTCCCTGCGTGGCCTCTAACCCAGCTGAGACCAAGCCACTCCTCGACTCAGAGCCCTGGCTCCTCTCATTCACTAAAGGTCAGAGTCCTCACTGTGCCCTTCAGGGCTCCAAGGGGTCTGGCCTCCCTGGCCCCCCCCACCCCATGCAGCCACACGCCATCCTGCTGCTCCCAGAAGGTGCTCAGCACGTGCACCCCTCAGGGTCATCGCACTGACTGACGGCCCCTTGGCCTGGCGTGTGCTCCCCAGACCTCCTGGGCATCTTTGATGTCTGTTTTCAGTGAAGGTGTTCCCTGGCCACTCAAGATGTGACAGCCTGCTCTGCTACCCATCCCCCCCATGTTTATGGTTCACTGTTTCCCTCACTGCTGGAGGACGCTGCCGGTGGCAGGGCTACGCCCCTGTCTTGTTCGCTCTGATTTCCAGGGCCTGGAGTGTGGTAGTGCTCACCGAGAGGGTGCATATTTTAACTTTTCATTATGGAACGTTTCCAACGTAATCAGAAGTAGAAAAGCATAGTGTATGTTCTGTACCCATCCCTCGCCTTCAAGAATTATCGACCCGTGGCTATATTTTTCTTTCTTTTTTTTTGAAGCAGGATTTATTGAGAGGACAGGAAAGCTCCCACAGTGGGAGGGGACCCACGGGGGTTGCCCCATGGCCATATGTTTCACAGCTACAGCTACCCACTTCTTCCTACTAGATTGCTTTATTTATGTATTTGTTTATTTTAAAGATGAGTACAGTTCGGGATTAGGTATACAAGTGGCCATCATGCAGGTAGAGTTTGGGCCTACCTTTGGTCCCTACTTCGCCTGGTTTGAGATCAGGTGCCCTTATTGATGAAGGGTGTCCCCTGCCCCCCACCAGCAGTTTCTGGCTACTGCTGACCCCTTTTTCATAGTATTATGGTGAATGTTCAGGGTCTGCTTATGAGTGAGAACATGCGGTACTCAGTTCTTTGTTTCTGTGACAGACCACTGAGTATGATAGACCCAAAATCCATCCCAGTTGCTTGGATAATTTTAAAGCACATCACAGATCAAAAATATCTCAGTATGTTAGCCCTAAAAAGATAAGACTTTTTTTTAAAACAAAAAGTACTGTCAGGGTCTCACTGTCACCCAGGCTGGAGTGCAGTGGCCCCATCAGGCTCACCACATCCTCGCCCTCCTGGGCTCATGCGATGCTCTCGCCTCAGCCTCCCGAGGAACTGGGACTGCAGGCGCGCACCACATCTAACGTTTTTGTTTTCCGTGGAGGCGGGGGACCGACTATGTGGCCCAGGCTGGTCTTGAAGTCCCGGGCCCAAGCGATCTTTCTGCCGCCGCCTTGCCAAGCGCCGAGATAACAGGCGCGAGTCGCCCCGCACGGCCGCCTCACAACAATCTCATCACGCCTAGAAAAAGCAACGATTCTTTCTAGCATCGAGTCTTCAGGGGTCCCGGTTGTGCTCCAAAGGGGATTTGTTGATCTGTTTGAGTTGGGATCCAAACCAGGCCCAGTGCGTTTGATTTCAGTTGGTGCTTGAGTGGGGAAAACAAGCCAAGCTCCCGGGAGGCCTAACGAGCAGACTGGGCTCTGGGCAGGAAGCGGAGGATTTCTCCGAGGAGGGGGAGCTGGGGCCGCGCGTGGCCCGGGGGAGGGGCGTGTGCGGGCGGGCGCGCTGGCCGGGGCAAGGG